CTCCAACATGGATGAAGCTTGAGGACATTATGCCAGTCATGAAAGAGCAAATACTGTATAATCCTACTTAAATGAGGCATTCAGAACAGTTAAATTCGTAGAAACAGAAAGTAGAATGGTGGTTGTCAGGGGCTGGGGAGAGGACAGAATGGGAGTTAATGTTTCACAGATACAATGGTGTACAATGGTTTGCAAGATGACAAGAGTTACAGAGATGCATGGTGCTACTCTTCCATTGAGCCTTATCCCCAGCCTTCTGGACCCAAGGAATACTCCTAGGCCTCCCTAGTAGCTCAGACTATGGTTGTGTACCACCATGACTGTCTTTAGCTAGTCTTCCAAATGAATGACTAAAATAGTAGTGCCACACAGGGGCAATGTTCACAGGGGGCGGAGGCAGCCAGGGAGAACCCTCTGAAAGGAAACTCAAAATGGACTTGGGACTGCCAGGCAGAATTGAGATGAGTGGATAAGATTGGGTGGAAAGCACAACTGGCAAGCGGAAGTTGGTGAATCAAGTCAATGTAATTGGGAGGTGGTGAGGGTGGTGATGGGGGGCTCTTATGACTGAAGGATAGAGGGTCTCTGTCTTGCCTAGGAAAAAGCATTTACATTTATCCTGAATGGCAGGCACGCTGTCCCATGCCTGTGGTCCCAGCCACATAGGAGGTGAACTGGGAGACTCTTTTGAGCCTAGGAGTTTAAGGCCAGCCTGGGCAACATAATGAGATCCCCATCTCATCCATCAGTCAATCAATTCTCCCTGAATAATCTGCTAGCAGAAATTTGAGAGATGGATATAAACTTAACAAGATTCATTTATTTCTTTTTTCTTCAACAGTGCTTCAACCCAGTGGTCCCTTTACCATTGAGCTACATCCCCAGCCCTTTTTAATTTAATTTTTTTTATTTATTTATTTTGGTACCAGTGATGGAACCCAGGGGTGCTTAACCACTGAGCCGCGTCCCCAGCCCTTTTTATTTATATTTTATTTTGAGACAAGGTCTTGTTAAGGTGCTTAGGACCTCACTAAGTTGCTGAGGCTGGCCTTGAACTTGTGATCCTCTGAGATTACAGATGTGCACCACCGTGCCTGGCTTTAATTTTATCTTGAGAGGGGGTTTTGCTGAATTGCTGAGATTAGCCTCAAATTTGCAATCTTCTTGTCTCAGGCTCCTGAACCACAGGAATTAGAGGCGGTTGCCACTGTGCCAATTCTTTTAACATCTGCCTGGGAGAAACAGTGCCATTGCCCATGCCAGGAGTGCAGAGGCAAAATATGGGACTGCCTACTACCTATTCTCTGTGGTGGGGACACAAAACTAAAGGAAACCTTCAGAACTTAGTCAGGATTCAATGTCTACGGAAGCCACTGGGCTGCTTGCTCAAGGATGTAGGGAAAACTCACCTTTTTAGTCCTGGGTAAATGGGGCAGGTGTGGGGGTGGGGCAGAGGCTAGAGTAGAGACCCCTAGGATTCAAATTAGATAACTACCTTCTCAAAAATAAAGTCAGACACTAGTTAAAATGGTAAGGATGGTTTTTAATCAGTAATACACTGTTGCAATAGGGATGAGTCTAGCATGAACTGAATTCATCTTGCTTTGTTTGTTTTTGTTTTGTTGTTTTTGCAATGCTGGGGATCCCAAGGCCTCCTGCACGCTAAGTAAGTTTTCTACCACTGAGCTATATCCCCAGATCTTTTTGTTGTGGTGGTGCTGGTTTTATTTGTTTGTTGTCGTGCTGGGCATCAAACTCAGGACCTCAAGAGAGCTCTACCATTGAGCAACATCCTCAGCCCTGAACTTGGCTTGGATTTGTACAGAGGTGATTGGATGTTTCAAAGGGAGAAAGAAAGAGTAGGGAAGGTGGCAAGCAGGGGCTCAGCTGTGTCTATTAGCCGCCAATTAATGAAGAGAAGATTTTATCCTTCCAGGGAGACCAGGAGATAGAGGCCCTATCCTTCCTGAAGGTTACATTTTTAAAGGAATGAATTTCAGGTCCTTGAGATAGACACTCCAAAGTGTAGGAGATTTAAATAACTTGTATACATCTCTACAGGACAAAGGAAGGATTCACAAAGGTAAGACCTTTTAGGAAATGTTCTAAGAGAGGATGGACTGGGCCCTAAGGTTAGGTATTGTCAGCAACAAACAGAAAATCCTTTACACAGCCTTGAGCTTTCTCAGACAGGCACTTGAAGGCTTAGAGTCCTTCCAGGATTGTGCCCTTGGGCAGTTAGAAACTGTAAGTGTTTAAGGCTTTTAATGTGAAGGGAGGAGGAAGCCAAAATAATTTATATCAAGAGTCTGTTAAAAAAAAAAAGTCTATATCATTTTTATAGGACAAGGCTGAGATCTAGTTGAGAAGAGGGTTCAGTGGAAGCTCCCAAAAATATGGTGGATAGAGGATCTTGGTCATCTTAGAGCTGGAAGAATCTAGAATTGGCTGGGGATGCAGTTATGTGATAGAGGGCTTGCCTAGCATGAGTGAGGCCCTGGATTCCACCCCCAGCACCACCTGGGGGGGGCGGTAAAGAGTCTAAGATTATTCCTGGGGGTGGTGTTATAGAAGCTTCCCCTTCAGCAGCACGCAGCTCCAGGAACAGCAAGATAAAATAGGTGGTGAACTTTTGCCCAACAGCACCATTGCATGCCTTTAATTCCAGCAACTTGGGAGGCTGAGGGAGGAGGATGGAAAGTTTGAGGACAGGTAGAGCCGAGTGACAAAGGCCACAAATGAGATGCCGGTGGCCGTGGGTCCCTACGGGCAGTCCCAGCCAAGCTGCTTTGGCCGCGTGAAGATGGGCATTGTCATGGTTGTGCCATGGGCATGGCGGCCAGCACGCTTTTTGGCACCTTTTCCTGTCTCAGGATCGGAATGCGGAGTCGGGAGCTGATGGGCGGCATTGGGAAAACTATGATGCAGAGTGGTGGCACATTTGGCACATTCATGGTCATCAGAATGGACATACGATGCTAACCAGGACAGTGGTTGCCCACTCCATCTACATCTTCCTATCCACCCAGGGCCTTGTACCATAATAAAACAAAGTCTTTTCTCAAAAAAAAAAAAAAAAGAAAAAGAAAAAAAGAAAGAAAGAAAGAAAGAAAAAAAAGAAAAAGAAAAAAAGAAAGTTTGAGGACAGCCTAGTCAATTTAGTCAAAAGGAGCACCTCTGCTGCCCCTTGTGCAACAGAAAAACCTTCCCAGCTTTAAGAGCAATATCAAAGACAGGAACATATTTCAGATGGATGGCTCACATGCTTTCTTTCTTTCTGTCTTTCTTTTTTATTTTAAGACAGGGTCTATTTGCCCAGGTTGGCCTAGAACTCATGATCTTTCCTGCTTCAGCCTCTCAAGTAGCTGGGGATTATAGGCTTGTGCCACCACACTGGCCTCCTTTTTTGTAATTAAAAAGAATATTCCAGCAGGGTGCCGAGATGCACACCTAGTGACTGTGGAAGCTGAGGCAGGAGGATCGCAAGCCCTAGGCAATTTAGTGAGACCCTGTCTCAAAATGAATGAACCCTTTAAGAAAAAAGGGCTGGGGGTGTAACTCAGTGGTCCAGCGCCCCTGGGTTCAATGTCCAGTATGGGGTGGAAGACACATTCCAGTCATGCTCACCGGCTGTAATCCTAGCCAGTAGGAGGCTGAGTCAGAAGGATTGCAAATTGGAAGCCAGTCTTGGCAATTTAGCAAGACCCTGTCTCAAGATTTAAAAAAAAAAAAAAAAAAAAAAGTGAAAAAGGGCTGGGGATGAATGTAGCTCAGTGGTAGTATCCCTGGGGGTGGAAATAGGGAGCGTTCCTGTGGACCAGTACCCTGCCTTCCCTGGCCTGGCTTTCCAGATGTTATTACTATCCCTTAAAAAACAGTGCCAGAACTGTAGTCATCAAACACCAACAGCAAGGTTCTCAAAGTAGTTCCCCAGGCCGGCAGGATCCGCATCCCCTGAAACTTATCAGAACTGCATATTCTGAAGATTGCCCTAGAACGAATAAACCAGAAACTGCGAGTGGGGCCCAGTAATCTGTGTTTGAACAGGTTCTCCAGGGGGATTCCATACACATCAAAAATTGAAAATCACTGATCTAGCAGTTTTCCTTGGGAAAGAAGCTTTGGAGGGCGAAACTGGGGTCAATTAGGAGCTTCATAAACGTTTGGAGCTAGGTTTGAAAGTTGTGGAAAGCTAAGAAAAGACAGGGGAAAAGGCGTGTACTTAACCCTAAACAGTAGGAAGCACAGGGTATCTAAGATAATGAGAAAGAAATGAGAAGGTGTCCCAGCAAGAGGGCTCTAGGGAACCCACACCCTGTTTGCAGTTGGGGATCACGAAGTCTGGAGATTTCGTCCTCATCATTGCCAGGGGCCTTCTCTCCTCTGGCCTGGGCGCAGCGGCCCTACTCAACTCCCACTCGCAGGGCCAGGGCATGAACCCAGGCGGCTCAGGTCGTGGCTCTTAGCCAGAGCAAGTGGGCACAGTTCCCTCCAGCCAGAGTCGGCCGCAGCTCAAGATAGCCGCGTCTGAGAGTATCCTCGGCTAGTTTGCACCCCTCTGAAAACCCAGGTATGCAACCCGAGCCCGCAGCACCGCAGACTCGACGGCCTCTGCTTTAATCGCTGGGAGCCCGGCCTTCGGGGAACAGAGACTCCCCGACTCCTGCGCTGTAGCCCCCTGAGCCCCGACCGAACTACAAAGCCCACAATCCCTGGGGCGGGCGCGCGCTGCCTTCTAGGAGCGGTAGTCCAGCATGCGGGGCGCCCCTGGCGGCTGGGCGCCCGCAGGACTGCATATCCCAGCATGCTTGGCCGCACAAGGGGGGGGAGCGGGAGGGGAGAGCCCCAGAGGATGTGAATGGGGAGGGGGCACCCGCCCCCTTCCCCCACCCTTCCCTTCTGCTGGGCAGGGGTGGGGGGAGGGGCCGGGCTGAGGCGGCGGCGGCGGCGCTCGGGGAGGGCAGGGCCGGGCAAGGGCGGGACTGGCCCGCGATCGGCGGACGGGAGAGCCGCGGAGGTAACGGGTCCGGACGCGGGCGGCGGCGGCGGCGGCAGCAGCAGCGGCTTTCTGCACGGGCGGAGGCGGCGGCAGGAGCGGCGAGCATGGCCCGCGCAGCGCCCAGCGCTGATTGAGGTGCGCGGGCGGGATGAGGGCGGGCGGGATGCGGGGCGCCCGGGGCTCCTAGCTGCCCCAGGCCACCTCTTTGCAGTCAACGGGCTTGGCTCAGCGGCCCAGATCGGCCCGATCCACCCGGGCAACTTCCCCCGGGTCGGGGCGCCGTGTGGGCGGGGGTCCCCTTGCCTTGGCCTCGATCCCTGTCCCCGCCTTCTGCTTCTGCACATCCAGCCGCTCCCAGCCTTCCAGTCACTCCTGTTCCACTCCTTGCCGGCTTCCCCCAGCCCCAGCCCTTGAAGAGCTGCCTGCCCCAGTCCCCACTTTCAGTCCACTTATACCCCCAGCCCCCCGCGTGCTGGCCATTGCTCTATCTGGAGACCCCTGCCTCATTCCTTTGGGCCACAGATTGTCTGCACCATCAGCCTTTCCCCTACCTGGCACAGACCCCCAGCCCTACGCTCTGTGGCCCAGTTCTCTTAGATAAGACTTGGCAGCTTGACCTCCTTCCTACTTTGGAGGAATTGAGGCATGGGTGCAAGCCAGAAAGTTGACCCACCTGCCAGACCTGTGGACTCTGGCCTGAACCCGTCTTTTGTCTCTTCTGTCCATTCTGTGACTTGAAATGGAAGATTCATTTCTTCTCTCCAGTCATTCCCCTGTGACTGGACCAAACTTCCTGACCCTGCTGCAGGTCTGGGCTGAGCTCACTTTAGTCTCCCCTGTGGCTCTTCTACCACTTCTGTTGCCGCCGCCCACCCCTTTCTTTGCATAGCCCACTCTGGCCCTCTCTGCCTGGAGAGGAGTCCCTACCCGTTGCTGCTTCCTTTGGGTTTGTATCTCTTGCCAACTGCACCCATCTAGCTTTTTGCTTTCCAGTTGCCTTCAAAAGGACTGGAGAACAGAGTTTTAAGGTGGTGTTGGGAGAAAGGAGAGAGGTGCTGGTGGCTGAAAGAGATCTGCAGGCTCTTTTAGCCAGAGCTGCGGAGGGGAGTTCAGGGCGCCCTGGGGAACAGTCATTCCTAGCCAGCAACCCACACTTCTGATGTCTAGAATCTCGTTGGTCGTCCCTTTCTCTTCTTATGCCTGATGGACTTGGAAGTCCCTCTGAGATGGAAGGGACTGCTACTTTTAGGGAGATGGTGGCATAATATGACTCTGGGAGACCACACCTCACAGCTTTCTCTGGCTTCTGCTGCTAACTTTGGAGGGGGTTGCCCTTTCAGGAAAGGATTCCTGCTAGGTGGAGGAAGGCATGGTGTCTGTATGTGGGGATCAGAAGCTTAGTCCCGGTGTTCAGAATTTGAAGGGAAGAGGGAACAAGGGTTCAGAGAGGCGCCACAGACTTGTTTGTACAATTCAGTTTTTTGTTTTGTCATTTTTTTTTTTTTCCTGGCAAATTTTCCTCTGGGTCTTCCCTTTCTACTCCAATCCCCAGTTTCCCAGCAGGAAGAAGGGAAAGGAGGGTGGGAAACCTGTGAGCCATCAGGAAAGGTGGGGATGCTCTGGGTGTTTGGAGGGGTCCCAAGTGAGCAGTCTTGATCTGAACCAGATGGTTCCCTGCTTCAGCACCCCCTCCTCCTATGCTTCCCCACTTGGCTGTGAATAGGATGCTTTTAACCTTGTAACTTGAGAATGGAGGAAGAGAGGCCAGGGGGCCAACTGTCTGTGCAGTGTTTATGTCTGCATGTGTACATACCAACAGACTTGCCCGGGGCCTGTGGGAGTGACCCTGCCCGGGAGTATTTTGCTGTAATGTGCTGTCATGTGCTGTGGCATGCTTTAGGCCCCTAGGCAAGTTCTGAGCCCAAGCCTCAGGTACAGCCAATTTTGAAGTCCCTAAGAACCACTAGGTGTGGCCTCATAGGAGCATTTTCCTCAAGCCAAGCCTCAGGTTGAGGACCCCTGTTCTTGAGAAGGCTGGCTGGGATTAGGGACATTGAAACAGCAGGATTGGCAGAGTCAGGAGGTCAGGCAGTCCTGGAACTGGTTTCTCTTCATGGCATGAGAAAACCTGGGGTATTAGGGTCTGGGGTGAGGGGACGGAAACAAATTTCTTTGCATTGTTCTATTTCACATTTTGCTTTGTTTCGATGATATCTGCGTACTTGACTTTGGTCCCCAGTAGACAGATGTTCTTTAAATGTGTCCTCATTCCTGAAATACCCTTATCTAGTCAGTCCTTGGCACATAATAGGTGCTCAGTAAATGCTTGAGTCAAAGTAGAGGGTCTCAGGAATCTAGACTACACTACCAGAATTTTCTGACCCAGTTCGTTTGGGTGGGTCTAAAATTTGCATTTCTACCCAGCTTTTGGGGGCTAATATTTTAAAAACAAATGTTTCGGGGCCATTAAAGTTGTGTGGCAAAATAATCTAGGCAAGTGTAAAATCTTCTTTATATATATTTTATTTTTTAGTTGTACACAGTACCTTCATTTTGTTTATTTGTTTTTATGTGGTGCTGAGGATGGAACCCAGGGTCTCACACGTGCTAGGGGAGAGCTCTCCAGCTGAGCCACAACCCCAGCCTTAAAAGAGACTTCCTTACTCTTTACTTCCTCACCTCGCCTTTTTTGGCAGCTGCATTCTTTCATTCTAATGACCTAGGGTTGGCTAGGTTAATAAGAGGGGTGACTTGTGGTGCCTGAACTGCTAGTCCTACTCTAACCATAGCCCTATTGTCATTTGAAAGCAAGTCCCATGACCAACCAGGACATTTAGGACTCGGGGCTTTGTAAAAGGGTGGCTTTATGGACACAGTGAAGTGACACAGAAGCTGAGCCAGGCCCTCATGTGCTTTATGCCCATCTCCCAGAACAAGTGCATCCATGTACCTGCCAGGTGAGGTACTGCCACAGCTGCACACTGGTCAGAATGCTGGGAATCTGAAATTTATTTATTTAATTTATTTTTTCGTATTGTGGATTAAACCCAGGAGCACTTAACCACTGAGCCACATCCACAGTTCTTCATCTTTTTTATTTTGAGACAGAGTCTCACTAAGTTGCTTAGGCCATACTAAATTGCTAAGGCTGGTCTTGAACTTGTGGTCTTCCTTTCTCAGCCTCCCAAATCTCTGGGATTACAGACGTGTGCCACCATGCCCGGTGAAATCTGAAATTTACACAAGCAGGAAAAATCACATGGTGATTTATAAAACATTTTATATCTGCTGTTCACAGGACAGTGAGAGGTAGACATATAGATAGAAGGCAGCTATAGATCTAGATAGGATTACGGAGGAACAGAGAAATATACTGTGGGTCACACAGCAGTCAAGACTCCTGGTTCTGACCCTCTGTCTGAATATTTGCTAGACCATTTTCTACTAATAGCTCCAACAATGGGCTGCTGTTCATTGAGCACTTCCGATAGCTAGGCATTGTGCTAGATGTGCTCATGTGTTAGTGAATCCTCCCAGTTAACATTGTGTGCAATTGGCATCATTGTCACTATTTCATAGGTGAAGGACTGAGATTTACACATTGTGTGAGACTTATTCAAATACAGACAGCTAGGAGCAGGATCTGGGATTCAAACTTACGACTTTCTGACAGCACATCCCATGCTTTTAGTCACTTAGCTATCGTGGTCAGCAAACCTGTAATTGTCCTTTGAGGTTGTCTGTCCCAAAAAGTCTGATGCATTTTTGGGGACCTGGAACTGTGTTGGGCATGATAAAGAGACAACAACAATCAAGTCACAGTGGGAGGAGGATAAGACAAGAATATAAGTTTATCTACAGTGGAAGGCAGATGGTAGAGCCAGTGGCTTGTAAGAGATAGAACTGATTCATATAGAGGGCTCAGAAGAAGCACTGGGGACAGTCCTTGATGTGTAGTGCCTATGGGCTGGAGAGTATGTAGGCTACCAAGTGCAGAGAGGTCATCACAGGGCACATTTAGAGAGTTGTCCCTTCCTACTAGAGCATAGGGAAGATTTTCTTTGTTATTTGCAGATGTAAGGGCAAGAAAGGGGGTGATCCCCTTCCTGCCCATTAAAAAGGCTCTGGGCACCCTTTGCCAAAAAGTTCATAAACTATACTAAAAAGTTAACAAGATAAAAACATAATTTATTTGACCATAATTTTATATGACATGGGAGCCTGCAGATTGAAGACCCAAAGACCCTGGGAACTATCTGTTTTTATGCTTAGGTTGAATGAAGCTTGGATAGGCATGTAGAAGTGTGATTGCACAAGTTGAATGTGGTGGTGCATGCCTGTAATTCCAGCAACTCAGGAGGCTGAGGCAGGAGAATCACACAAGTTTGAGGCCAGTCTGGACAACTAGTAAGACCCTGTCTCAAGATTTTAAAAAGGAGTCAGAGGCAGTGGTGCATGCCTGTAATCCCAGAGGCTGTAGTTTCCTTCTAGAGGCTCAGGAGTTAAGCCGGGAGGATAGAGTTCAAAACTAGCCTCAGCAATTTAGTGAGGACTTAAGCAACTCAGCAAGACCCTTTCTCTAAATAAAAAAATATATATATAAAGAGCTGGAAAGCTGGGCGTGGTGGGACATGCTTATAATTTCAGCAGCTCAGGAGGCTGAGGCAGGAGGATCTCGAGTTCAAAGCCAGCCTCTGCTTACGCGCCCCTGGGTTCAATCCCCGGTACAAAAAAAGATTTTAAAAAGGGCTGGGGGGCTGGGGTTGTGGCTCAGCTGTAGAGCGCTTGCCTAGCATGGACAAGGCCCTGGGTTCAATCCTCAGCACCACATAAAAATAAATAAGTAAAATAAAGGTATTGTGTCCAACTACAGCTAAAAAATAAATATTAAAACAATTTTAAAAGGGCTGGGGATGTAACTCAATGGTTATAGAACTTGCCTGGCATGTATGAGGCCCTGGGTTTGATCCCCAATGCTGGAAAAAAGAAGAAATATGATTAAACAAAAGGATATGACTAATTCTAATATACTGAGTGTAAAAGCCCAGCAGGACTTGTCCATTCAGATGCTTCTTGGCCTCTCTGTGTAGGGTTCCTTCCTCCTGGGCATGGGGCAAGACCGCTTTGGAAATGGA